CGTAGAAGTGATCGCCAAACTTGTCCACCTCCCCGCCGCAGATGCATCGCTGCGAGACGGTTGCGTGCGGGAGGGCAATGCCGAGACACCCGGCGACGGCGTGGCGATACTGGAAGTTGTTCAGTGTCTTGCTATCGCTGGAAGGGATTGCTGACAGCCAACCAGACGAAAAAGGCCCTTGGCAGCTCAGAAGACGGGCGCGGGCTCTGCAGTCGGGGGGGAGGGAGTTGAAGAGCTCGTTGAAGCGGAACTTGTGCAGTTGATCGGTCAGGCGCTGCTGTAGCCGAACCTGCGGTCTCGAGAGAAAGTCTTGGAGGGGAGGGGAGGGAAAAGGAGGGGCCGACCACCTCAGAGATGGCAGCGAGGGCGGGGACTGCCGCTTGAAGCCATGGCAGATCCAAAAGAGCAGCGGGCCCACCCTGAGGCATCCACGGTGCTCCTCGGAACCGGCTAGAGACGTCAAAAGCCGTCACACCGATCGAGCCCAGAAAAGCCGCACGAGCAATCGTGGATGCGGAGACAAGGCCAAACCCTCCCAGCCGGATGGGTAGCTGCACTTGTGCGGAGACCGAGTCGCGATCGGGGAAGTCGCCGGGAAAGCGGAACATGCGCCTGAATGCCGTGATAATGGCGGCGTCATGTCGCTCGGCGGCTGCCAGGGAGACATCGGATTCTGGGGGAAGGAGGCGCAGCCAATAGTTCAGCCGGGGGGATGCACAATAGCGGAGAAGTAGGCCTGAGCCCTGTAGTCCCTTCTGAGCAAAAGTCACGATTGCGTCGAGCAGCGGTTGGTGGCCGCTGGTGATCAGGCTATGCTGGATGAAAGAGTTGCCGCCAAGCGGGCAGCCGAGGACAGTGATGCCATCAGTGGAGCACTTGACGCCGGAAGCAGCGATGTCCGCCGGGATGTCGGAGTCTTGTTGCCAGCGGGGGCTTCATGCAGCGCTCTTGTCTCTCCGCAGCCGCAACTTCTTCTCGGCCAGAAGCTGCTCGATCAGCTGTATTTATTGCCTTTAATTCTCTCGGCCGTAGTCCGGCCCGTTTGCATTGGTCCAGCTGTGTTTGCGGATTGTGAGTGTGCGGCCGGTGTGGTCCTCATTCATTCATTCATTCTCGCACACACATTAATTGCGGTGGACAGACAGGCCAGTCAGTCAGTCGTGACGCATGTCTGTCCCATCCTTGCCTGTGCGTCGATGGGTCGTGTGTTTGTTTGATACATACGTGTGAGTAGAGTGAGTGCATGGGTCTGTCGATCTGTGACCTTGATGGAGAGAGAGGGCAATTAAGGGTCCATGTGGTGTGCACAGGTCGAAGGGATTGCGTGTTTGTTGCATGAGTGGTGGACTGACTGTGAGTGAAGACCTAACTTAGTCTCTTCTTTGCCAGAAGGTTGTACTGTATGTGCAGCAGATCGATGGGAGGCGGGATCACGGCGCCATTGGGGTGGCTGACGACCACTCCACAGCAGGGACAAAGACAACGCCATCCTTAATTGCAGTGCAACTTCACTGCGGTACGAAGACGCGCCAGAATCAGATGCGGGCTGCCTGTGGGCAGACTTCACAATGGACAGCAATGAACAGCTTGAGGATAATGATGAAAAGGAGAGGGTGGCGAACAAGGAGCGCTTCAGAAAAAAATGCGAGCTTGTGGCGAGAATCGCGGCGAGGATTCGAATTCTCGCCGTCTCGAGACGGCTTTTTCAAGAAAAGGAAGCAGCGGACAGTTTCCACGCCAGCTCTCCTCATTTCCCACTGTTCGCCTCACATCTCCTTCGTTTCTTTTCATTTTTCGGCGGGAGAGGTCGGTCGCCACCCGCCCGAGGCCCACACAGCCCCCCCTGCTCGCCGTTTGCCAAGAGGACGACTTGTCGTCCACCTGACCACCCCTGATCCGCCCGCCCGTCAGGCGCTGACACCTGGCGCTGACATCAGCCTTAGCCTCCCTCCTCCCTTGGTAAGTGGTCGTTGGCTTGTGTGGTCCGCCCATCCCCTCCCGCTCCGACTTGTCCGAATGTCGTTTGCCACTTTCGTCCTCTACCGCCGTGCCGCGAGTGCCTCAGCCGGTTGCTGGCGTCCTTTCTTCTGCTGAATGGGTGGAGACTACCTGCAATTGACTACCTGACACCTGTCTGGCGTCAGCTGAGTACGCGGACGCCTTCTTTTGTCTTCAAACTCAAACATCTTTTCAGGTGAGTCCACGTGTCATATCTCTTTTTCTTTTGGTTGGCTGCGGTGTCGGTATGGTGTGTGGATGATATTCGAGGATTACTGCGTGGTCCGTTTCATTGCTGTGGTGATCTTACTGTGTCCTGTCGGCATGCTTGTGTGCAGATGATGGAAGTTTGATTCTTTGTCCTGATGGCCGTGCTTTTGACAGAATGCACTGTCTCTCTCGAGGTAAGTCAGTCAGTCCCCCACACACGCATCGACAGAGGTGTGCTCACTCACGGCGTTTTGGTTCCTGGCTGCGTGTGTCTGTCTATGATGTGTTCAGGGCGCGAGTCATTCGATCGCTGGATGGATGGATGACCGTTGGCTCTCACACCTACCTTACCAATCTCGACGGCAGGACCGAACAAGTGCTGCCAGGGACCTACGCGCGGCTCACCTCTACTTACATCAAGTAAGCAGGAAGCCACCCACCCATGCGCAGACAGAGGATGCATAAATAATACACCCACACACATTGACAGGTTTCTGCTTCAGAGTTGGTTGGAGGTGTGGCTGAAGAGAGAGAAGGCCTCATCAACACCCGGAGCACCACTGACTGATGCCGATCGTCTGTCGGTAATCAAGGGCAGATGGCAGTTTTAGGCAGTGTTTCACATACGTGTAAGCTAACAAGAGACGGAGAGAACAAACACAAGCGAATGTCGACAAATTGAATGTCGACAAATTGAATGTCGACAAATTGAATGTCGAGGTGTGTTTGTGTGTGTGTGCGTGTGTTTCGTTCAGGGCCACCTGCTTATCACTGCTGGAGGGATGGATGGATGGAGGGTTGGATGGATGGTTGGAGGGATGATCGCTGCCTACATTTTATATTTGGACGGGTGTGCACGGCGGGTCACAATGTCGGTGCCCTCCTCTCTCTGCCCGCCGACATTGTAACCCGCCTTTTTTTTTAGCACACTCGTTGGTTTCTGAACACAAGGCCTTGTCTCTCTCTTTCTCCTTGTCTCTCTCTTTCTCCTTGTCTCTCTCTTTCTTGGTCACAACACATCGACCCATTGACAGGTGAGTCGAGAGGAGAGCCACAAACACACAGACAGACAGACAGACAGACAGACACTTGAAGGCCATACGTATGAACG